CGGCCCCGGGACCCGTCCGCACCGCCGGTCCCCCGGGACCTCGTCGGCACCGCCGGTGCCGGGACTCCGTCGGGACCACCGGCCCCGGGACCCCTTCGGCACCGCCGGCCCCGGGACCTCGTCGGCACCGCCGGTGCCGGCCCCGGGACCCCTTCGGCACCGCCGGTGCCGGCCCCGGGATCCCGCCGGCACCTCCGCTCCCTCAGCGCCGCCTCCCGGCCCGCGGGCCGCCACTTGGCGGATAGGGAGCCGCCGCGCGGTCCCCGCGGACGCCGAGCCCTCCGCGGCCCGCCGAGGCCACCGCACCCCCGGAGGACGCGGCGGGACGAGCGCGGCTGGATCGCCGCGGTCGGAAGGAACGAGCCCCTCCGCCGCTCTCGACCGCGCCCGGCGCGGGAGCCCACCCGCTACCTGCCGCGTAAGACCCGATGCTCTCCTTCCTCTCCCCGCTTCCTCTGTGGCTTGCTCTCTCCGGGTTTGGGGGGAGAGGGACGGGGGAGGAAAGGGTAGAAGGAGGAGGAATACGGAGAGAAGTAAAGAGGGTAGATAGGGGAGATGAGGGGCGGTTTCTGGGGGGGCAAGGGGGGGGGAAATGGGGAGGAAGAAGGGGAATACGGGGAGAGAGAAGGAGAGCTAGGTGGGGGGGACAGGTGTCGAGGTTTTAAGGGGCAGATGGGAGGGGGAGAAAGAAGAGGAATTCAGGGAGAAGAAAGAAGAGGGAGCAGTGGGGAAGCTGAAGCCCCCACGACTCACCGGGGAAGCCTGGACCGGGAGCTCCTCCTACTCTCACCGCACTCATAGTAAACAAATGATCTACAGGCAATTTTCGGGGATTAAATCACCTCGGCCCCGCCCCACACACCTGTGTCGGGCCCGGGGCCTGCCTCTGAAGCCCCGCAGCTGCCCGCGCTCAGCCTTGATGCCGTCGGCCCTGCCCCCGATGTCACCCGGACCCCGCCTCCTGGGACTCTCCGGTGTTCCACGTTGGAATCGGCTGTGCTTAATGTACAGGTCAGTGGGAATACCTAGATTTACCTATTCTATCCCCATAGCCAAGCAATCAGTACAGCATTCCTGTCTACTCTGACCCCAGCCACTGTCTTGCGTTCCAGCTGCTCCTCCGATGGAAAAGGTCAGGCAGGAATGTCAGGAAGCATATTTAATAGAGAAGGAATTGATCTGCATTCAAGTGCTGCCCTAATGTTCCTCAGGACTGGGACCGGAACTGCTGAACGCTACTGGCAGTGAGGCTTCTTCCCAGCCGGGTGATCCTGTATCCCAGGCTCCGCAGTGTGGCTGGACGCAGGCCTGACACGCAGGTAAGGCTAGGGCTCAAAAACTGTTGGTGGTGAGGCAGAAGTTTCTTTTGGCAAGTTTTACAACCCAAATTTTCCTTACCTTATTTTTTACTCAAAAATACTCATTCTTATGTTTTTTAAAGTTTTGTCCCCCAAAATTCCCCTACTCTTCCACAATTTTCTTCAAACTATTTGTTTAATAACATGGAGCTTTTCTCAAGATTTACTCCCACAATTTTCCCTATTACTCGTCGCCTCATTTTTGTCATTTTTCATTCTCTTCTCCAGAGAAGGATGGAGACTGTCCTCAGAGGGAAACACAAGCTGATGGGACCCAGCTCTGGCATCCCATTTCCTCTTCTTGCTGCTGTCCTGGAAAACCACAGGTAAGAAGTCCTCAGACCTGGCACCCTTGAATAACGGGAGAGCTGGAGTTTCACCCCGGTCCCAGTGCCCTGCACCGCAGCACTAATAAGAGCACAGGCTGACTGCTCCACCCAGCACCATCCCTCCTTTTCCTGCACCATTCCCACATCCTGTGTCTATGCCAGAGGCTGGCACCCAGCACTGCGCCAGCTCTCTCCCTGGCAGCACACCAATGTAGCGGCCTGGCTAGAAGTGGCTCCTGTCCGAATCCAGAGTGGTGAGAAAAGTGGAAGTTCCTGACTCCACACTGGAGATGGTGGCCCCGCTACACAGATTAGTGTGTCCTTCCAAAAACAGCGGCATTGTTTTGGGTAGGGATAGAAAATGGCCCAGAAACGCATCTGTTTAGCTGCCTGACCCCGACCCCAATTCCAACCCAGACCCCATGTTCTCAGCACGATTTCTTGCAGCACTATAGGACAGAGAGAAGAGAAATTACTTTTTATGATCTTGAAATTTATCCAGGTGGAACTGGGATATTGTCTTGCCCCTCCTCAGAGCACTGCAGGCACATGGGAGCAGCTCAGCACCAGCCCAGTTCTGAGAAATAACAACATGTGAGGGCTTTAAGTGTTAATCACAACTCTCTTGTCTCTTGGTGGCAAAGATTCAGTCCCACAGTCCCAGACTGATGAGGGAAGAAAGGAATTTCTGTTATTCATGGAAAAGCTTCTGTTACTCCTTCTGCAGGCTTTTAATTCTGTGGCCTGTGTGATTGTCTGGTATCTTTTTAACAAGACTTACCAGAGATTTAGGTTTAGGAACTGAATTTGGGTCACTACAAAATCTTGCCAAGCTTGAAGGCCTGAGTTGAAGACTGCTCTCAGAAAAAGTCCTTTATTATTCCTCTGTCAGATTTCCCTTGGCACTGGGCACAGAAGGTGGGGATTTGGATCAGGAATTCTGCAAGCAGGGCCTGTGTGACCCTTGGCTTCCTGTGCATGTGTGTGTGTATGTATGTCTGTGAGCCAGGGCTGGGACAAGGACTCATGCTGGAGCTCTTTGGAGCCATTTTAAAGGTCTGATCCTAGAACATTTTGGAGGCTGTTTCCAGAGCTCCATTTGTAGCTGGATCTCACTCCAAGTGCAGCAGTCCAGGGGAGGGCTCTGACCTCTCCAGATTTCTGCTCAGCCAGGCTGCGGCTGTCGCTGGCTCTAATTGGGATCATGGCAGGTTTTCTGGAGAACTGGAGATCAGTAAGGACTGCTGCTCTGGAAAACGGGGGCCTGCAGGGATTTGCTTTAGCAAAGCTGAAATGCAATTTGTAAAGGTAGCCCAAAATTCAAATTCCTGCAGGTTATGTTGAGGACAGGAGAACTAGGTCAGAACTGGGTTTTGTGGTAAGAGGATCTGAGAAGCTGCATCCCTGCATGTGGCATGATCTGTATGGTTAAAATGAAGTCCCTGTCCCAGAGGCTGATGGTTTCTGCTCATTCCTGTGGCCAGTTGTCTCCAGTGTGTCACCAATCCAGAGTGATCTGCTCGGGTTTCAGACTGTCCGTGCTCTGGTCACTACAGTCCCCAGTGCCTGAGACGAAGGCACTGACACACAGTCCTGACCAGAGCGGCCAGTGTCACTTAAATAGAAATGAAATGCACCAGACTTGCTGTGGAAAGGAACTGCTCTGGGCTTGCTTCAGTTTTAAAATTTTGAGTAAATTCTTGATGCATAACCAGTTAATTCTGCCTCTAAAGAGAGAGGTTTTCCTCAGCCCTGTTTACAGATTGCTATATACAAATGCACATAACTGTATAAAGGAAAACCAGAAGCAAAAACCAACATCCTCTGCTACAATAGATTATAATTTTATTGTGGCCATTTATTTTGTGGTAAGTAATAACTGCCTTTCCCAATGTGTTTTGGGGTTTCAGCTATTTGGGAATAATTTCAGCCAACTCATTGCATTGAAAATATGAAGGTGGGGATGAGTGACCAGTACCCTGGGAACGGCTGTGGATGTGCCTGGGTCAGGAGAAAATGGTCAGGGCTTATCTTCTCCTAGTTTGAGGCTGGGTCTGGCAACACCATAATATTCCAAAGCAGACTAATTATTTCCTCCACTTTATCACTTGTCCAGGCTCTCTGCTATGTCAGTGGATACACCTCTATACCATAGGGGCTTTCCATGTGGGCTTCAGGGCTTTCCTCCAGATTTCCATTTTACAGACCTCTAGTGCTGCTGGATTAGCTAAAGGACGTGACCTCCCTGTAAAATCAGTTTTTAAACAAAAGGTAAACTTTGAACCTTGAACTACAGCTAAAAGATAAGAGATGCACACTAGATCAGTACTTGGCAAATATGAATTGCATGCCATGAGCAGATAGCTCTCTGCTGTACCTCTACATGTTTTAGTGTGCTGGTGCAGCACAGATCTTTAGTTTTAAGGGATTCTTTACAGAGCACAACCATTAAATAACTTCTAGCTGCTTCGAAGTGGAGTAACATAGTGTAAGTCTAGTAATTACCTTCCTCTGCAGCCCACCTAGAGTTCAGGGAACTGAGGGCCACCTGTTTGCACAAGTGACAATATTTTCCCTACCACACTGGTAATTTCCTTTGCCCTACTGCATTACTTCTGTGCACAGCAGCTTTTAGGAAAATTGTCAAGTTTGGAACAGTTCCTCTTCCTCAGCAAGCAAGCAGCTGGTTCACCATCTCCAATTATGTAATAATAATGTAACTATCATTTGTGCTTCTATGTTTTATCAATGGCTGGGTACAACACACACATTTTGGACTCAGCATTGCCCAGTTGTGCCCATAGATTGCTATTTGATAGCAAGGCAGGAAACATCTTTCTGTTGCTCCTTTCTGTCTGTGGTTCGTAACAACGGTGCCAAGCCTATCGCAAGAGTTTGCACTTCAGCCAATATTCCAGGAGTTCGAATCCCCAAGACAAAGGTAGGTGGTCTTACATGCCAGGGAAGCAGCCCAAGAGAAATCAGTGTTCCTCAGGAACACCCCAGATGTGACAGATGTTCCTGCCCTACACATGGACAGAAGCTCAGTGCCAGGAGCACCCAGAGTGCAGCAGTTTTGTGTGCAGTGCAAGGGTCCTAGTAACAACTCCAGCCTGGCAGCCTCCTGGTCCAGGAAAGCACTGGCAAGAACTGCAGTCCAATGAGAAAATGCAGCTGCCTTGAGATTGCTTTGTACTCTGAATTCCCAGAGCAACAAAGCTGCTGATGTCCCGTTTGGCAAGGACACTTTCATGGCGAGATGTCGACAGCATTGTCAGCAGCTTTTAGGACCTGGAGAATTTAATCAGGACTTCAGTGCAGAGACAAACACTAGAGAGAGGCAGAATCACTGCTTCTAAGCACAAATTTGAACCAGAAACTGACTCTCCACCAATGTGGACTCCTGGAAGCAAGTTTTTACTTCATGTCTCACTTAGAGGAAAAAAAAAACCCAACCAAAATAAAACTGTCCCTGCTTCCCTAGGATACAACATTTCCTAGGGATTTGGTGCTTTTCTGTCTAGTGCCTCTCATGGCTTGAATGTAGGCACCAGGAAACTCAGCTGAGCCAGTTCCTCCATCTCTGGCCTCTGGTGCATTCACATCAAGAATGGTTTGGTAACACATACCTACTATATAGTGACACATTTATTGTAAACAAATACAGGTTTGTGGCACACACAAGACATCTCAATTCACCTTATTCTTACTACCAAGTTGTCATTTGTCTTGTGGCAAACACAATCTTCTATCAGCATCAGCACAAGTACCCAGGGATTTTTCTTTCTGATTATAAAAGCCTATTTCCTCCCCAGGCAGCCACTGGGAGCTCTGACAACACTAACAGAACATTCCTTCCCAGCTTGCTTAACATCACCTTTCAGAGCTTTCCCCTGGCACCACGACAGAAAGGCACCAAGAAAGTGCCACATCCACTCCTGAGCTCCTTTCAGCTCAGCAGTAGGGGGTCTGCTCATTTCAGCAGGGAAAGGGACTGCTGGGGAAACAGCCTGGGAGAGGCACAAGGCAACCCAAGGCCTTCCTACACCCCCTGCACACACAGAGGAGGCCACCCCACAGAAGCCAGGACATGTTCTCAGTTTACTAGCATAGCTGTGGAAATTTCTCTGTCAGTATAGTTCAGACATGTAGCACAGCACCAAAATAATGATTTATCTGGTACTGAAAATAACTGTGTGCCTTTAGAAAGTGCTAGGGGGGGCGCGGGGAAAAGGACTTAATCCAGCACCATTACTTCACTAGGTGCTGGATCAGCAAACACACTAAGCAATACATAGTAACCCTCACTCAGCATCCTCCTGCTCTTAGCTCAAACTATATTTCTAAAGCTGACTTTTAAAAAAAACCCAACCATGAAACCCCCAAGACTTCATGTAAATAAAAGCACAACTTTAAACAACACTTAAAAATCAACATTAATTCAAACTGCCATA